TGGGAAAGATATTTTGCTTAATAAGAATCAAGAATGACTTGTTTTCAAGCAGTGGGAAAGAAAGCCAACTTTGAGATACATGCACATTTTTCATTTGACAAATTGAAAAACAAAGTGATTTGTTAGAAATTTAACCAATTCGTTATTCACCTGGTATAATTTTTTTGTTTTGTTTGACTTTTCAGGAAATTTACGTCTTTGTTATCCTATTTACTTAGGTAGCTTTTATAAACCATTGCCATGTAAAAAAGGAACGTTCCTCTGTACTTTTCAGCTGAAAGAGATCGTCGCCATAGTGGATGGTATCATGGAAGAATTTTCCCTTCCTGCATTCTACAAGGTATTTCCTTCAGTTAGAAATAGATGTGATATGTTTCGGTGATTTTGAAGGCTTATTTTGTTGAAATTTGTCCTTTTTCGGAAAATGTTTTCAAATGAATATAATATTGAAAGTGGAATGAATGTCACCTTACTGATAGGTATTTACCAGGATTTCTCTGTGTATAGGTTCAGTTTTTGGTTGGTTTTTGGTCTTTCATCATGTGCCCTTATTTGTGAAGCACCTCACTTGACAACACACGTGTTTGGTTCCGTGTCGTCAATTGACTACTAAGCTTATCAATCCAATTGTAGGATCCATCATTTCATGCTAGTATTGCATGGCTGCTTGGAGACTTATGCTCTGAGAAGACAGAGGAAGTTCAAACCAAACTCCAGGTAAATATAAGCTGCTGATTATTTTAAACCAATTGCAACACCAATTATTTTCTTTGGCCGTGAAAAGTAATAAAGACTCCTAACAAATTATAACATTTCTCTCAACAACCCACACAAATGTTGGTCAGGGGTCGATCCCTAAGTTGTTTTTATTCTATTAATACCACTGTTGTATGTAACACTTACGGTTTGGAGCACAAGTATACTTTTCAGTCATGCACTTGATTTATAATTGTAGTAAATCACAATTAGGAAAAGCAAAGAAGAAAAAGAAGAGAACGATAACTGAGAAAAAGGAAAATCTTGATGTAGCTTGCTCAGTCGACGTCGCTAAAGCCCAGTGTACAGCGGTTATCGGATGCCAGTCTCGTTTTAGTGGTGTCATGTTGTTACGTTACACTGCTTCTCTTTATTGTTTCTTCCTTAGGGTATTTTAGACGCTTGCGTTTGCGAAAAAGAAGTCGCCAAGTCATTGGTTTTGGAAGTAAAAGAAGTACACTGTAACATAGGAAATAAACGTTTTGTTTTTCCGTTGGATGCAACGTGATTAGAACAAGTCAGAATCAGGGAACATAATCCTAAAGTAAACTGTTGTTGACAAAGGAGGAGTCTCTAGCAGCAACCTGCACTGTTTCTTGTTGGAAAGACAGACAACTTTGTGGCCCTAGAGAGGCTGATTAGGAGGCCGTCTTAGATCGTTACTTAAGGAAGACTACAACTTTTCTCCGGTTTAGTTCTTCGTAACATTACATACGGTCCAGAATGAGAAAAAAAAAAAAAAAAACATTCGGAAGTCGTAAGCATTTCTAACGTGTCAAAATTATAAAAATACGAAAAAGGAAAAAAAGACTGATTTTCCTTATTGCTTCGATGAACATACTTCCATACTTTCAAAATATTTTCTGACGACACGCCTGCTGTTGCTTCAGCACGAGACCTCAAGAACCTTGAACAGTGACCTGAAGTAGACTATAAGCTTTGGTGCAAAGCTAACCAAGAAATGTTAATTAACTTTACTGAAACAAATTTAATGTTTATCAAATTGCCCTGGAAAAGTTATCTTGCGATAAATGTCCAGAAAGAAAGTGAAACAGTACGAGTTTGCTGGAACAAAAGGATCGAATTTTAGGTATTAAAATACCTAAGTGTACTACTTACTGACACAGTATCCTTTAACACCTAATATGCAAATATCCTTTGGAGGTTCATGATTCTCGTCAAGAATGGGTAACTCAGGGATATTTTAATTCCCCTCCCGGATAACTCAAGTTTTGGATAGTATTTTCTACGCTTTACGTCTCTTTCGCTTTATCCTCACACAAAGACAAAGATTGAACAGAGACTTTTTTTGCACGTAAATTAGTAGGGGACGAAATATACGGCGCCCTTCCTTCTCGTTTCTTTTGGCGTTCTGTTTAACAGTGAATTATACGAAAATGAATGTGAGAGTGATCTTCGCAGTAATGAGCACTACTAAACGTACATTAAAAAAAAGGCCTGAAAAAATTTCTGGTCTGCACGGGAGTTAAACCCACGACCTCTGCAACACCGACGCAGCGCTGAGTGCCAACTGAGGTAACAAACCAATTGCGAACTAGTCATTTCATTGGTTCGAGTTGTTGAATAAGTGACTGTGAAAATACGAATTCATCTATGCGATCACGAACAGCGGATATTGACACCATGTTTTCAGATCGGAGAGTGATAACTAGACCACCAGGTCCTAATCCCCCTCTGGGTAACCTGCGACTCCGATAACTTCCCCCGTATCCACGGCTTCCCCTTCCACTCGACCATCTGAATTTCCTCGGTGTGCGGAGTTTTTTTTTTCAGCACAATTAAGGGGGATGGGGGTGGGAAAGTTTTTCTGATTAAGGGATTCACGAGCGCATTTCTTTTGAATGAAATAATGATGATTTTAAAACAACTCTGCACTGAAGTGGAGGTGGTTAGTGCGTTGCGTGACGAGAAATTAAGGAGAATAAGACAAATAAATTATGGTGGTAACGCGTACGAGATGCAGGAGCAGAAAATCGACAATAACAAGCCTATTTATAATGAATGTAACGCCTAAGACATACTTTTTTTTGTTGTTATCGAAGTCTTTTCTTCCTTTTTACCTCACAGCCTTAGGAACCAAATAAAGCCGATTATTTCCTTTTAAATGGTATGACTTGTAATTGAAGCAACTGGGAAACCTGAGTCGAGATTCTGAATGCATGAAGTCTTCACAAATTGTTTACGACAAAAAAAAATCATTCTTCTTGTATCAGCAACAGTGTATCTAACTGGGTTCTTACATTTTCAATCTAAACCCCCCCTGGGATTTCTGAGGGGAGGGGGGTAATCAATATCACATTTTCCAGGAAGGTCAACCAATAACACGGGGGCCGTGGACGGTGTGGAGGTATTGGACGGTGTGGTGGACAGTGTAGTGGACGATGTTGGGGGGGAGCACTTGTGGCAGTGATGGCACGTTTATACCTCTGAGGAGTCTTGAAACCGGGTCCCTTAACATTAAAGGTAAAGGTAAAGGTAAAGGTCTCTTGGTGGCAATGACGTTTTATTCTGATAACAATAATGATAAAATAAATGTTCTTGACAAATCATTTTCGGTGACATAATAATTTACATGAAAGGCTCTTGGTGGTCACGTTCAGTTGACATGCGGTCTCTGAGATCGTCTGTTGACCTTCCACCACGGCTGGTCATGACCGAACCTGACTTCCCTAATAAATTTCCCTTTTTTTGACACTTCACAACATTTTAAGGTCATCCTTTCCTAAATAAAATCCTGATAGAAATTTGCTGGCGTTGTTTGACTTTGAACAGTTATTTCAGTGACTTCTGCAAGAAATTTTGTAGGTCCATGAAAGGTCGACATCGGACGTCATGTTTCCTGTTTCGGGCATTCCTAAAAGGGAATACCCGAAACACTAGTGACTTGCTTCGCTACTATATTTTACAGCTCTGGATTTGGATAGTATTTTCCACATAAGGCTTCTTATTTTTTCGATATGGTAGTATTTCCTGCAACTGAAATTCTATAGAAATGTTCATCATTCGCAGAAACGCTTTCGCACTTTGGCAACGAACAAGTCTTCGGAACTTCAGAAACCACGAGGTTCTCTAGGGCAGTGTGAGTCTTCTTTTGTTACTTGAAAGCGAGGTTAAGCATCACAAGCGTATCGCTCAGTCTCCATAGTAATTGAACTGCCGCGCATGAACAAACAAACAGACCTTGTGCCTAACGACAGATCAACCACTGTTCACTTGAGCAACAACACGCCAGTCACTGTTGTGTGAAGGATAGCTGTTTCTTTGATTTAAAAAAATTGCTACATAAGTAGGCATGTTTAAAAACACATTTCAATCAGGATTTCTATCCATATTATATAGTATTGGCAGCAAGCCCCTACAAATCTGGGACAAGAAAGTAAGCAGACTTGTACTATTGCGGTATTGAGTAAGCTCACACTCTGTGGAGAGTTTTCCCCTGCCCTAAGCTTAATTTCAGTAATTTTGAACTTTCAGGTAAGAAATGGACACATAAAGAGAATAACGGATAACGACATTCAGTCGCTTGTTTTGGAGGTCGTCGGAACAAACGTCAGGTATGAGATTTATCTACAAAATGATTCAAAAGTTGCGGAAACTCTTTCATCGACCATGAAGATCAGCAGTGAATTAGGAGTAATTTTGTAGCAAGCCTACATGCAAATAAGAATATTATTATTTATATACATTCGTATTTATATTTCGGAAATAATTGCTTGGTATTTTAGCTGCAAATCATCATCCAACTCCTTTCTAACATGAACTGGTTTTTTTTTTTTCCACTCCAGTACAACTTATATCACATGTCCCGCTGACGCAAAGAAGACTCTTGGAATAAAGTTACCATTCCTTGTGATGATCATTAAAAATTTGAAAAAATACTTCACGTTTGAAGTTCAGGTAAATACGATAGTTTCCAACTCTGTATATTTGAGTTTGAAAGAATTAAAATATTTGATGGTTTGAGATAATTTCATTATTCAAACTAAAGTCATTTGTTGACACTTCCTGTAGGTCCTGGACGACAAGAATGTTAGAAGACGATTTCGCGCATCCAACTACCAATCAACAACGCGAGTGAAACCATTCATTTGCACGATGCCCATGAGGCTTGACGACGGCTGGAATCAAATTCAGGTAAAATGTTGCTAATTTATTGGATGCAATATGTTGTTGCTACGCCTCGATTGTTTTCACTCTGAGCTTGCAAACTTACCTCAGCTCAAGTTTCTTTTATGTTTTCCTTTGTGTATTGGTGTAGGATTTACAAGGTACTTTTATGACTCTTATGTACTGGAGAGAGGATATCCAACATTGTATGGATGTGACCAAATTTCGATATAAATGTATTTATCAAATTTTCAGCCTTAGATATTAAATTGTTAGTATCCTGATTTATTTCCTTAATCTTGGTTATTAGCCCATACAGTGTTTCAACTTTTATTGAAAATAATCCCCTATGTGTTACTTTTTGGCTGGAAGTGAGGACTTGATTAAAAATGAGGAAAAAGAGGAAAAAGAGGAAATCACATATCAGAGGGTCTCGTATTTCAAATGTTTTGGGGGAGCATGTTGACCCCAGACCCCTTAGAAGGACTTGTGGCTTTGTAAGGCCCCAGGCTTGCTACCCGACTATAATTTAATTCAACCACCTACTCAATTCAGATCATATGTCTATTATATTTGCTAAGACAACCCTTCATCGGTCTCTATTAAAGAAAAATTAAGTAAGTGCTTCTCATGTCTCATTTTAACCCTTGGAGAAGCACTCCAGTCCTCAATTGGAGGAATGCAATTGTGTGTATTCCTGGTGATTTCCATTATTTTATGATCTCCAATAACTCAGTGTGTATTGTCTACAGTTTAATCTTTCAGATTTTACAAGGCGGGCTTATGGCACAAATTACATTGAAACACTTCGAGTTCAGGTATGCCTTGGATACCTTAGAGACTAACACATTTCCTGTCATGTTAATTTTATCCTTTATTCTATTTTGCTTTTGACCCAGTGTACTCTATCCTAGTGTCCATGTTGTGAAAATAATGATAGTAACAATAATAATAATAATAATAATAATAATAATAATAATGATGATGATGATGATGATAACAATAATGATTTTAATAAAGTACAGGAAACATACACCTAATGATTGTTGATTTAGAGATTTTTGTACTTTTGAAAATTGGACACCACAAAAGTGAATCAAAAGTTGAGCTGGCTGGTACATTTGATTACATGCAAGGTTGAGTTTATTTCAAATGGCATCAAATAAAACATCTCTTTTTGAGAAGTCTTTGAATAAAAGAGCTCAATAGAGTAAATTTACAATAATTGAAGTGTAAGCCATTACACTATCTGCCCTTATCTCAAAGTTTTTCTACCTTGAAACTAACATTCAATTTATTCATCTAATACTAATTAAATTAACTTACCAATACTTGCTTGGCATTTATTATATAAACACTTTACTTACTAATTTAGACATTAGACAGTATTTTAGTAGTTAACAGTAGATAAAGAGCAGGGCTCAGATTGTTTTTTTTTTTTTCTTCAATGACATCAGGTCTTCAACCTTTTCTAGTTTTTGAGATTATCATAGTGCAAAGCTCATTTCAGTTTTCTTGTACCATATGTTGTATGTGAATGCATAATTGCAGATTCACGCCAACTGCAGAATTAGACGAGTTTACTTTTCTGACCGCCTGTACTCAGAAGATGAACTACCAGCAGAATTCAAACTTTACTTACCAGTGCAAAACAAAGCCAAGGTAAATATAGATATTTGTAGAGAAATTTAGTTTAAAGCTTAGTTAAGGTGATTCATTTTTAATTGAATTGTGCATTTTGAGACTGTGCATGATTTCCATACAAATACTACACACACACAATTAAAGTGACAGCTTTTATGAAAGACAAATGGTTGCCAGTGTTGGAAATGTTACTATCAATCACCAAATAGGAAAACTGTAGCCCTCCTTTTCATTTCATTATTTTAGTGATATCTAGTTAGTCTTGTGAAGATAAAGCAATTTTAATGTAATAGAAAAAATCCAAGCTCCAGATGGGACTTGAACCCACAACCCTCCGTGATCTAGTCGGATGCTCTAACCACTGAGCTACTGGAGACTCTACAGTGAGCAAGGGTCAATTTGTGGGCCTCAACTAGAACCGCATCGCACAGCTACAAAGCCAACTATTGGTGAGCGCCTGTGAAACTCACTAACACATGATTCATACAATGTTGAAAAGGTGTTGAATTTTAACGGTCATCTTGAAAAGTCCTTGAATTTGGTAGAGCCCTTGAAAAGTACTTGATTTCTTTAGTAGGTCATGAAAAGTCCTTGAAATTTAGCAACTTCTGTGCACCTTATCACTTTTCTGATAAATTAAATGATTTTGCTATGGAAATTTGTCCACTGTCTAGTAACTACCAAAAAGCGAAAATGGTCGGTATAAAACGTGAGTGGTACACGAAGCAAAGTTGGATCTTGCCTCAATTTCATGCGAAAGGCCTCCAATGTGGGGTAGTCCACCATGTGCTTTTGTTTCAAGGGGCAAAGTAAACATGTAGTTGTTTGGCTGTGTTTTGGTCGATGAATTTTTTATTTCCCTTTGTTTTCAATTTAACTGAGCGATGGGCAAATGTGTATTCAATCATAAATGGTTTAGATTTATGAATAAAACTTAGTCCTTGAAAACCATTTTTTGTCCTTGAAAATTCCTTGAATTTTGTTTGTCTGAAGTTGTACAAACCATTCTAACAGCATCGTGCTGTGACATTAAAGCATATCAAGATGTGGCCAACCAACATCCAAAGTGAGCATGTGAAGATAAAGCAATTTTAATGTAATAGAAAAAATCCAAACCCCAGATTGGACCTGAACCCACCACCCTCCATGGGTTTAAGTCCCATCTGAGGCTCGGATTTTTTCTATTACATTAAAATAGCTTTATCTTCACATGCTCGCTTTGGAGGTTGGTTAGCTTCATCTTGATATGCTTTAATGTGACAGTGTGATGCTGTTAGTGAGTTTCACAGGCACTGACCAATACTTGGCTGTGTAGCTGCACGATGCAGTTCCAGTTGATACCCACAAATTGACCCTTGCTCACCATAGAGTCTCCAGTAGCTTAGTGGTTAGAGCATCCGACTAGATCATGGTTCAAGTCCCATCTGGGGCTCGCATTTTTTTATTACACTAGTTTGTCTTCATCACATATTTTGTGGATCTTGGAAGAATTAAAGGCTAGTGTTGAGGAAATTGAGTGAATTGGGTATATGGTGAGGTCATTCCAGGCCCAACAGCCCATGGTGGATTTAATTACATTTTTAAGTTAAAAGTGAATGGGAAGTTATTGAAATATGTTTTCCTTAAGTGAGAGCTGTCTATGCAGCTTGCTTGTGTGATAAGCCCTCTTTCTTAGAATATTTTTTCCTCTTCTTAATGTGTTATAACAGTATATGAAAACATATGAGAAATCCACAAGTTTTTTTTTTTTCAAAGGAATCACCTATGATATCATAGTATTTTTTCAACAGAAAGCATTTTTTTTTTGTCCCGACGAGGGAGAACTTCTCATAACAATGAGAATAAGATAGCACCTGCTATTCAATGCTTTGTTAGAATTGTGCAAAATCCATTCCAAGCAGGAAAGGAGTTAATGGCAGGTCATGCATGCTCAGTCAATCCAGTTCAAGTAGTCATTGCCTTTAATAACCAAAAGTCCTCTTGAGATTGAGCATGATCCTCTTGGTCTCAGCCAATCAGCATCCAGCAATTTTACCCTATATGTGCCTTGAGTGGTGTTTATGGCAGAGTTATTGTATGGCATTTCTTTGGTTCCAGTATTTCCCATGTGTAAAACACTAACATTCATTCCTCAAAGTGAAATTGTTGTCAGTTGCGAACCCTCAGTTAGTGACCATTGTGTAACCACAACTCAAAAAAGTATTTTTGTCAACCACAGTTTTTACTTATTTGACATGTGACATTTATTCTTGCAGGTATGAATCTGACTGATGGATTTTGGGGTTCATGGGAGGGTAAAAAAAATTTTGGATTTGTTGCTGAAACAGCCTGTTATTGGTATCAATCTTCATTTAAGCTTTCATTTGCCTTTAAAAAGGAACATATTCTTTGCAAATCAGTTTCTGAGATTAATCTGGAGTTTCATTTAAGGCTTATGATGAAATAGACTTGAAGAGCATCTTTCGCCACTATGAATAAATAACTCTAACAGTCAAGCTAGTTGTCTGAGAATTAGATATTTTTGGCTGTACTTTTTACTCCAACACTGATTACTTCACACTTTGTAATCATTGTAAGTATATTATTGTAAAAAGAAAATAAATTTACTGTGTATAATCACAACTGGATCTGTTTTTTATGAGTGGTTCTAAGAATTTCTTAAAATTGCAAATTTAGCCGAATATAAAAAAAATTCCAGGGGAAAACTTTTCTCCAAATAGAAGTGGCTCTTACAACTAAACTAATTATAACCGTAAATAAAGGGCATATCTGAAACCATACTTCAGTATTCGCGTTGCCCTATTTAGTAACATCAAAAATAAAGACAGACAGGAGCATTTTCTAAGTGCTCTGACTGCCAAACCTCTGTCATCTGAGGGACTGGAAGGAAACTCACAATATGACTGACAGAACACAAGCAAGTGGTGAGAAATGTCAATATCAACAATTACATTGCTGAACATTCACATCATTGACTGGAATTCACCCCAACCTGCTAAGTGCATACCCTGCCTAATCTCTTTATCACGAGTTGATGATGTTTAGTAAGTATGATGCCATCTTTTCTGTCAATGCTCCTTTAATTAGGGGGAAAAGATGCAATTTAAAAGAGTGTGATTTGTGAATAATTTTGTACTGATGAGAGCCAATCAGAGTGCAAGGATTACCATTGATTTCAAAATGATTGTAATAAAAGAACAATCCTTGTCTTTTTAAAATGCTCAACAACAACAAGAAAAAAGATTAATTGGACTGGACTAACATTTTGACTGGTGTCTCACTACAAGTTCATCTTCTGGTTTTTGTTAAACTCATCAGGATACTGACCATCTTGGAAGTACTCTTAAACCTCGTACACTTTTGTTTGGGCTTTCAGTCATGGTAGGAAGCACTTCCATTTATAATAATCAGAGGTAATAATCACCCTTCCCAATTTTCTTCTGGAGAGTTGAGGGGGTGGCCATACACAGGCTATGTTATCCTTGTGCACTTCCCTACAACATTTTCAGATGTTTTTATTCCAATGGACCAACAATAAATATGAAGGCGACCTTTGCAGTTGTGAATGCTTTTATGAAGTAGTGAATATAAAGCCTACAAAAATTCAGGTTTATATGGGAATATTGAATCCATGACCTCTGCAGACTAGGCTAATAAGCCAAGGGAGGGATGGTGATTTTGTTTGATAGTAATAAACCTGTCATATTCACTTACTCTGCAGTTCACATGTACGATTTTCACATATTCACAGTCAATTTTTATCATTTCATGGGTTTATCACAAACCAACAAAATTACCAACTCCATCAGCATGTTACCTCAGTTGGTAGAGCTCTGCACTGGTATCGCATGTCATGGGTTAACTACTATACAAGCCTGAATTTTTTTTTTCTTTTTTCAGGTCTTATTTGCACAACTACTTATTTTTATAAGTATTGTTAGTTACTGCGGTGTTTATCATAATATTCTTTTCTTAATTTCCACTTTGCAAACACAATTTTCATATATTTGCAGTCATGAAAGTGAAGTCTGTTCAATAGAAATGTAACACATACCTCTACCTTCCAACCAAGTCTGGTGATTTCTATTTTAGTACGAAATTAACTAGTTGTCAGTCGTTGTGTGTAAAGGAAACATAATGATTTAGGCTGATGAAGGAACTCCCAATGATAGCTTCTCTCGCTCAATGGAGCTAAAACAATGTATCAAATATCAAGGATACCCACAACTTCTTTCAAGGTGTTACAGGTGTTGAAAGATCTTCTCGATATGAACACACTAGAGTCTGTATTTTGTATTTTCACGACAAACAAAAGATCTGGTGACAGAAAGCAATTTCTTCTCTACTAAGCATGGTTACGTAAAACGGTTTTGCAAATCAATACAGACTTGTTCTTTCAGTTCTTTCCCTTTCATTATCTGCTTTTCTGTCCAATGCTATATTCTGTTTCATTACTACGTCAATTAACAGGGAGAAGTAAAATTTCTACTCTAACCTTTTTGCTTGCCTTTTCACATTATCAATAAAGTTTAACCAACAGTTTCAGTACATATGAAAAAGAGAGAATTATCACTACTGTAAATGATATCTGATTCAAAAGTGCCTTTTACTTGGGCCTCTTTACTGTTGCTTTAGCAGTTGGTTTGGATTTGTTTGTTTTTGATCCCTTGGTATCCTCGTTCTAGAAGGAAATCAAGAAAAAAAGTTAAGGAATGACTTTTCCCTCCTTATGGCCAAGACATCTATTTTTTTTTATTTCAATAGCATTCAAGGCTAACTTTTTGCATAAACCCTTTGCTTTGAACCTGAAGTAGTCACACTGAAGTTAAGTAGTTCTACTATAGCATTCAATATGACCTCTTATTACATGATTCAGGCAGTTAGAGGGCCAATAACTAAAATCAACCAATCAAAATGCTCTATTGCTGGTCAATATTCTCTCAGTATTGGACCGGGCACCGCCCCGAATGGTCCTAAATGATACTGCACTAGTGTCCCTTTGAACTTCCGTCACATAATAAATCTCTTATTAACCAAGCTTGCTCAGGATGCAACCGTACTGGAAGAATATCGGCCCTCTGTCTTTTTTGTACACAGCGAGCGCTGCGCTCGGTCTGTACTGTCAAGACCTCAGGCCGATATTCTCCTAGTAGGGCCCTTGCGCTTCGTTTATAAAATATATATAGACGATAGCACACTATTTCATCGAAAAAAAAAATAGAGAGCACATAAGCTCCATAATTGAAATAAATAAGAATGGAAAACAGTATACAACTAGGTACTTTTTCATAACTAATACTTCCACAATTTAATGAACAGTCACATTACAATTCTAAATTTTACTTTTTTGAAAACTGAAACATATTTTGTCAATGGTCCCACTACAACTTTTTCATTTCTATAAGGTCATAGTAGTAGCAAGTATGATAAGTATTGTAAGAAATAGACAACTTTTTTGAGAGACATGTTTCGGCATGCTTATGCCATCTTCAATCAATGAGTAACAGAGCGTGAGTAATTATATAACAGACAGGTAGATGAATAAAATATTTACAGTTTGAAGTAATACAAAAGCGGGTACTAATTACAACGTGACACCAAACATCAAAGGTGTGAACTAAAATGCTAGAAAACTGTTTATAATATGCTATAATTGTTTGTTAAGTTCAGGTTTGATCTTATTTATATAAAAGCATCTTTGAGTTTTAAATCAATTGAGTTGTTAGCAGAATACTGAAGCAAGAAAGGGAGTATTTGTTCTTACAAGAAGGAGATGTGTTAAAATGCTTAAATATATGTGAATTTTTATCGCTTTTCGTGTGCTCCTTTATCCTAGTAGAGAAGTGGTGACTAGTTTCGCCAATATAACGGGAATTACATCCCACACAAGAAAATTGATAAACTGCCATGGATTTTAGATAATTATCTAATTACTCACATTCTGTTATTCATTGATTGAAGATGGCATAAGCATGCTGAAACATGTCTATCAAAAATGTTGTCTATTTCTTTTTCATTTCTATAAATAAGAATGATTATTACTGACATGGCCACAGTTAGGGAATGGGCCTAACATGTTTTGCTGTGGGACAAACCAAATCAGTTGATTGACAACAGGAAATGATTTTTTTAATTATATACAGTGCAAGAAAGGGGCCATCTTCTGAGAGAGAGTAACACTGCTTGTGGTTGGAGTATGTTGCCTTTACTGTGATATTGTGATTTACAAGAAATAAAACCTTAGAAATTCTACCTATTAAAGAGATTTAGCATTGTATTTACATGAAATGTGAACAGCAAGAGTGACCACATGCCCTTGTTTTTCCTGCCATTTTTTCCCGTTTGCTGGTTGTGCTTTGCTTTGTTACGCGAGTGTAACCTATTTCCCATTTTCCATGTATGTAAGATTTTCTTCACTTTTTCTCACAGAGTAGAAGATAATTGCCAGAAACAGGGCACCAAAACTATTCCTTGTAAGTCATACAAGGGCGCTTTCAAATCCATCATGACGTGATCTCATGCAAAGCTAAAGCAGCAAGGATCATGTCATTTTATGTGAAACATGAAAGGGCAAGCTGACGATTGCCGTTTCACATTTCACGTTTCACATAAACACGGTGCTAAATCACGGTGCTATTGTGAAATTGCATGAATACTATCTCCAGCAGTCAGAGAATCCAATGAACCACTGTCTCACCTTTCTTTTAATCGGAGGACTTGGCGAAGGCATAACCTTGAAAAAGGAATCCAGTCTTCCTTGAGTAGAACCTTTACGTGCCTTTAAGATCTTTTTTATTCCAGAACGTATTCTGTCTTCACTGATGAGAAACACATGTACAAAACAAAAATTAAGGGGATGAAAAACAAGTCGTGTCTGGTCATTTCGCTTTGTCTTTTCACTACAACTCAAAGGCAAACCCTACGAAATGTTTTTTTGAGATTGGCCCTAAAGCAAACAACTTTGATTTGTAGCAAGGCAACTTGGTGCAAAACAACTAAATACATGCTGATGATTAATTTTGCTCTCACCTTGAGGCAGCAGTGATTGCTGATCAAATGATTAAGGCGCTGACCCTGTTGTCAAAATGCTACCCAATTTGCCCAGAATTTAATTCATTGTCTTTTTTGCTTGTTTGTAGCCAATTGTTTCCTGCCAGTTTGGATTTTTAACACCCTCATGTTAATTCAGATTGTTTTTATTTCTCCTCGAAAGAAATAGTGAATTATATCATAACTTAATTATTTTGTGCATCTTTGTAAAACCAAAATACAAATACATCATACTTTCCAACTAATAGAATATTTATTTTAACTCTGTATGACCTCAATGATTAAATTTCCAACTCCAGAAATTGCCTTTCTAGAGTTCTGATGGGGTCACTCATCTTCGGTTCTCAGCTCATATACCAAATCACCCAAGTGTTGCTAAGCTAGATTTTCTTTTGGGCAGAAAACAAAGGCTTCTCCCATGCATTGTAAATGACTTGATTATAAAAAAATTATTCCATTCACACTTGTTGGATACAGAAAGCCAACTCAGTGCCAAGCACCTTGTTGGTTATTTACCATTTCATATCTGATGAACCCTTATGGAATAATTGCTAAATATCTCCTTTAGTACGAGACAGCCAAGCAGTCGCCTCCAAAAAGAGTTGTTGATTCCCATTGTATTATACATATAAACTCACTTAAATCCTTTTTCTTCAACTAGGAATTTCACAAGTTCCTCTTCATTTGGAGCCTCCCACTTAAGCTAAAAAAATTCAGACAATAAATTAAAAGAGCAATAAGACACCGCAATTCGTGTTGTTATATCAAAATGTGAGAATGACACGATCATAAAATACTGAACAGTGGCCAGTAGATGTCACAGCACAAAAACTCTCTCTGGGCACACACAATAACTCTTACTTCAGATGTGATTGTTTATATTTCTGTGTTCAGCAAATTTCTTTTCCTTTATGTTCTACATGGATGTTTATAAAAAAAAAAAGACTTATAATTAACTTAGTCTTACTACCATCACTAGCTCACATTTATATCTGCATCTTGTAAAACCTCAGGGTTCTTGAAAAGTTCTCGGGCTTCCTGTGTATAAAATAGGCACAAAGTACTTAAAAATTCTCCTGATTTACACAGTTGCAAGATGTAAGAGTAGTTAAGAGAAGATCTGAAAGATTAGATTTCAGAAGTAAAGTTTCTATTGAAAGATTAGGCAAAGAATTTAAGGGAAATGCTAAGTTTAGAGGTCAGCTTTCATCAAGTATTTACCCTTCACTATAATTTATACAGGCCATCAGATGTTATGGAAAGGACATTACAGTTGTATGCTAATTTTGACTACATGTTTTAGTTGTGTTGTAAACATGGTTGGCATGGCCGTAGGGAAAAATCATTAAACAAAATAAACCAAAAAGGCCACTAGATAAACTGTTCACTTTTCTGAAGTATTTTGGTGCATAATAAATTTTTAAAGTGCCCATGACACCAACGGTATTTTAACTTAAATAAAAACTACAAGTCTTAAAAAGCAATAAAAAATTTCATCCACATATAATAAAAATTGAAGAGTTTATAGCTCTCTGAATTTTGAAAGTTTTCTTAGTAAAAAGTGGTATCAAATTGTGCGGCCAAAACAGGCCTCGCGATGTCATCTTGTGTACCACAGCTTGCTGGAATTCAAAGCATCATGGTGGAAAACACGACACAGAGTAACAGAACGAAGGTAAAAGGAGGAAGATATTGTGAGTTGTTTTCTCTGGTCGTAACTATGCTGCAATGAGTGGCTTCAAAACTCCTGGGTACACAAGATGACGTCATACCGACAAAGAAACTCGCTTCCAGTCTGACCACTATTTGATCGAAAAAAGGTCAACTTTGAGCTAAAATTTTAGGAGGAAAAATATTTTAGACAGACTTTGTTTTCGGTAGATGTATAATAGAGATACTATATTTTTATTTGGAGTGAAAATCGTGTTGATGTCATAGGCACTTTAAGGCCCTAAACCTTCATTTAGAAAAAAAATGAAACAGTTCTTTTATCAAGATTTCCCAGAACCAAAATAAGTTTGCTATTACAAGCATGTTTACAGTCTGGTGTCACAACCAACCCTGCATCCTTAAAATTCATGAACATGTGAAAACACTGGCTGCCAAAGAAAACTAAAAAATTAGAGTTTTTTAAAAAAGGTCTTCATGTGCTCAGAAAAAATGGTTTGGACAGGAAAGTCAAGTACAACCTATGATGATGCAAAGTTTGAAAACTTTGATCAAAGTGTAATTACCTGATATGGCCATTCTTCAGGTAAAGTATATTTCTGAAAAAAAAAACAAAAAAAACAAAAAAAACATTGACACATGGAGAGAAAAGATAGAAAACTTGAGAACTGCATTATGGCGGGGGATGGTTCATACAATTAAATCTCTATCAATAAGGTATTGTGTTAGGTGGACTAAATAGATTTAGAAATGTGTCTTTGTGCAGTGAAATGTTGTTGTTTTCAAAGTATTTATTATTTACCAGCTTTTTTTGTGTTCCCCTTCATCCCATGTGGGTTCACTAATGTAATAACATCTGGGAAAATGTACACTTTTTGTCTAAGTGCATTAGTGTACTAAATTAGCTACCAAACTGGTGAAGTGCAACAATGCTAAAGAATGAATACCACAACATGCACACAGACTTACATTTGTATCAATGTGTTTGATGATTTCTTCAATGGACTTATATTGCTTGATTAAATCTACTGCTCTTTTTGGCCCAATACCTGAAGAGTCATAGAATTTACGAATGACATTAACTTGAAAAATCTTTCTGGAGAAACCAGCCTTTTATTTTTCTAATTTAATTTGCATTAATTTTTGTTCTACTTTTTATCATTAAAAGGCAAATGAAATAATTTTGCAAATGGACAGTCAATGAAGACCTACCGACACTTCTTTAACCTATTGACGTCCAGTGCGCCCATATGCACCCATGGGGACCCACACCCTTTCTACGCCTTGTGACGTCATCACTTTTAACCCTGGAGCACGACTTTGAGCACGTACTTGAACAAGTTGAAAATATCTTACAAATGATACCAGAATGAGCACAATTGAGTGAAGGAGATTGGAGAAATAGCCAATAAACCATGTAACTTTGACCTGAAAATCTGCACGAAAATCTTGTTCCATTACTCACCTACCTTTCTGAGCATGTGCTTTGAAAATAATGAGTAGTTTCCTAAAAAATCTCTACACCAAAATGAAGCCTACTAAATTTCCAGCAAGTGAGGAGAAACTTCAGGCAAGGAGAGGGGAAACAAAGGGCAGGAGAAAGAGAGAAAAGTAAAAGTCGTACGTGGGGCATTATTTTTCAACCCAAAAACTATCTCGAAATTTTGCTTTCTGCGCATGCCCAAGATTTTCAGGCTGCCACTTTGCATTTGGATCGAAAGGCCGTCGAGTGTAGGAGCTGTCAAGGGGTTTTTGGTAAGTTTGAGCTTTTAAAACCACGACATTGACCCAAAATCTGCTCGACTAGCTTCAAAACACAGTTTTCCACAAAAGCTGCAGCCATTAATGGGTTAAATGCGATTTTTATGATTAGTCAATACCTTTCAATATATGCACATCAACACAAGATGATCATCCCATACCACTTAACGGCACGAATTACACTTCTTCTATCTACTACACATCATATGCTTATTATACCTACTACATTCACTAAAATTTCTACGCTTTACTACACTTACTACAACTCTACATCCTAGCACTGTATACCTCTGTATAGCTGTGTATTGCCGTGTATAGCTGCGTATAGCCTTCTATAGCTGTGTATAACCGTGTATAGCTGTGTATAGCCGTGTATAGCCTTGTATAGCTGTGTGAAGCCATGTATAGCTGTGTATAGCCCTGTATAGCTGCATACAGCCCTGTATAGCTGTGCCTAGCCCTGTATAGCTGTGTGTAACCATGTACAGCTGTG